TTTTATTTCATTAACAGACAGTGTGTCCACAGGCTGAAAATGGTGCACCCTTTACGGCAAAATGTAATACATGCTTAACACCTAAGCTTCACCAGTGTTTTAGCATCGGAATGAGACTGGTAATTGATATATTTATAAGACTAATCATTTAAATAATGAATGCATTCATAGGAATACAATACACAAGACGTGCCACAAAACAGCGCCAAATGTGCCAAACGATCGCGAAGTAACACCACTCAAGCGACTGGGTTTGTGCCAAATCAGGGCACTAATTACAACGTTGTTCCGGGTCATAATCACCCGGGTCCTCATTCAACAAATACAGTCGCTACCCAACAAACTAATCAAGGCTATACATACCCGGCTCAGACATATACACAACAATTTAATGCATACAATCAGGGAATAAATGCGAGTGCAGTGCACACCTCGACATCACCACAACTGTCAGCTAACACTTCGACGATAATTGCGGCTAATAATGGTAATCAAGGCCTGAATGGACTGCAAACAAACAATACGATAACCACTCCAACAAACAGTTCATTAGATAATAGGATCGAAGACATGATTTTCACATTTGTTAATAAGATTGACCTAGGACAGATGAGCACTAATGGGGATCCACTGTTAGATGAAATGAAAGTAATTATAATTTTAAAATAACTGTTAAATTCTTATTAATTTATTTAAAATCTAATGACTTATGATTACCTTGATAGAAAATCCAACAAAACGAGCATGAAAATAAGTGCCGTATTCAGCATATTAGGAGAGTGCTGAATGATCCAGGTCGATTGAAACAGTTCCTGGATAACACGGGCTCTCACGAGTTGGCCAATGAACTAGTGGAAATGTTCAAAATGGACTACCCCTGGCCATATCGCCCTGACCTACCAGAATTACCAGTAGTACGGGCATCGGAATTGAGATCAGGGAATACCCGATACTTTTTCATGGACTCCAGTCCCAGGGGTCGGGCCATTGTGTTTATCTGTGCCGATGGACTGGACAGGGAGGCGGACAGATGGGAGTCCATTTTGGGACAGTTAGGCTTCGAGCAGGACGTCTACAGAAAAGCCAAATGCTCGCAGATAAGGGATGTGTTGTTGGGAGTGTCGGGTCAGCCCTTCGACGCCGACGCCCTGTTTGTGATGTTTATCGGCGGCCGATATGACGAAAAAATTCACGGATACGGAGGCAATGAGATGTGGATCACAGAAATTGTGGACATATTTTCCGACACTAATTGTGTGTCTCTGCGAAACAAACCGAAAATATTTGTTTTCAACACTTTCTCTATTGGTTTGTATTTGTATTTTACTTTTTGGAGAGAGAGAGAGTCTTTGATTTTATTAAATTTATAAATATATTTAAAAACTTTGTACAACAGGAAAACCTCAACAAATTGAAAACATGTCACTAACTTGCAATAATCGCACCTATCTCATTAATGCACACTCTAACTGTACCGAAACCAGTATGTACTTTAAATTTAATTAATTCAATGTCTATAGTATTGTAATTATACTTAAATTATGAATTTTATTGAATATAGATATGAACTCATGGTTTAATCCGACAGAAAGTATAACACTATTTGGACAGGCATTCAGTTATACGATCGCACAGTATGCCTGTAATCTACATTTAGCTAATTTAGTTAACACGGTATGTTATATTATATTTTAATCATTATTTGATTTATTAACTATAATTATTTAATAGACACGCAAACGACTTACATCGGAGCATGGTGATAATGATCAACCGAAAATAGTTACCATTTCTGTGGACACATCAAGAGAGATATATTTCAATCCGGGTCTTTATAAGAGACTAATTAAGTCTATTTAAAACAGTTGTTTATATTGTACCCTAAATCTATTAATTTTATTAAATAGATGAACAATAATTGTCTGAATACTTAGTCATTAAAATTTAACTTATAATGCGTTAATAATTTAATTGATACTTATATTGGAAAAATAAATAGTTATATTGAAATAAAATACAAAATAACTTGTTCATAATTTATTATGCTCAAAGTTTATAAGTTACAATAAAAATATAATTTTAAATTAAAACACTATATTGGATTATTGGAAAATCTATGAATATAAGTCTATGAATTCATATAAAAAATTTACTGTATGTTTGAATAGCCATCCATATTTATAATGTTATTTAATATGTAAAATGTGTATGTCACCAGTGACTACAAAATATGTATAATTGGATTAACGGGACTAGTTGTTCATATTCGCCAAGTTTGATCAATTCAAATGGTAGATATGGTCATATAGTTTATGTTATTACTTATTACCTTGGCATATTTTGCTGACACCTAACGAGATTCCCCATTAAATATGGTAGTAATTTTAATATATATACCTATAGCATACAAACTAATATATAAAAACCCATGGTCAATTCAATGGTTAATTAAAATTGCAATTACTTTATTTACATGACTTGCACTCAATGAGAGGGGCAATAGTGTCAAACAATCATTGCCCACAATTGTATTACATGTTTGTTGAAAAATCACATCAATAAGTATTTGAGAAAGAAGTGAACGTAGACGAGATGAACGAGATAGCAAACTGACGTAATGTAAACGAGTGACATAATTGCATGTTTTAACACTAGTTGTATACAAACTTTGCGTTCAGTTATTGATGAGATGTCTGTGAGAAAGGATTGCATTCGTGTTGTGTCTCATATAAACATATAAGTAACAAGTTTATAAATACTGTTAATTTGATTTGATTATTGTTATGTTAATTGATACGTGAACACACATTAAATGTAAGTGATTTTAATAAATTATTATGTTTACTTACTTTTAAATTTCGCTTATTATGTAATTAGTACCAAAAAAGGTATAACCATAGAATTGTAAATAAAATTTTTAAAAATTAGTATTACGTTAATTGTGTAATAATATATTTACTATTGGATAACTTACTAAAACTTATATAACACATAATTATAAATTATTAAAACAAATAGTTTATGAAATCAACATAACTCGATGTCCGCCGAAAAAGTGTGTGTTATTTGTGGTGCCAATGATCACACCATAATTCCAAAGACTACAACCTACTATAAACTTAGTAAGATTTTACATGTTTTAAATAATAAATAAAATAAGTACTCTACGAATACATAATATTCACAATTTGCGATAAATAGGTGAGAATTATGTGCCCAAAGGGAGCGCCGTCTATTCGTGTGAGGGATGTCGACAATCGTTTAAAAGAAATCTAAAATTAAAAGTAAATGTATTTTATTTGTATTGTCATAAATATTAAACTATACTGTATGGATGAAATGTATCTGCACATTGTATTGTATTTTTAACATTAAATATATTCTATATTACAACAGGGAGAGTGTACTGAGGGAGGTAATTGTGACATAAATAAGTGTCGACACTGTAAACTCAGAAAATGTAAGCAAGCAGGAATGAGACAGGTAAGCGAGTTGACGGTTAATTGGGATACAGTATTGAATTGAATTAATGATTGAATGCATGCATAGAATCCCAAACGACGAGCGCCGCCACAAAACATTACCAAACGTGCCAAACCTCGCCTCAATGATACGACTAACGCGAATGGGTTTATACCAAATAAGGGGTCAACACAACCATCATTTACTACTTCAACGACAGTAGTGTCCGATCAGGGACCAGTTGTGGCTAATAATGGTACTCAAGGATTGAATGGATTGCAAACTAATCATACGATAACCACTGATAGTTCAGTAGATAATATGATCACATGTGTAAGCTAGTTCAATTTAAATGAATTATGAATTAATTTATATCCATTGCATAATCCATAGTCAAAAGAGAAAATAATAAACCAAAATTCAACTAGTTTATTATATAGCGATGGATTTGAAAATAATCAGGCTCAAATTCCCTCACAGCTGTCTATGGCAAACATAGGTAACACAGCCTACAGTCAATCAAAAATAATGTATGTATTGTTTTTAGCCGTCGAAGTGCAACATCCATATACGAGTCCCACTACTGCTGACCTTTCCTATCCAAATATGAGCACAGGTAAAGTATCGCAAATTGATCAGGTGGCTACTGTTGAGATGACATCCACTGAACCAATAATAGGTCAGGGATCTAATAATATACTTACCGTCCAAGACTCAGCTCAACTACCACTGCCACCAATAGATCCTAATTAAATGGTTAGTCATAACTATTATATGAATAGAATGTTAACACAAATCATATTTATTATAAAATATAGCATTTAATATTAATAAATTATTAATTGAATAGTAGCTATTTCAATTATCGGTATGAATATTGAAATGGCATGATTCATATATTAATTTAATTGAAATAATTTTGTATATTCATACGGATAAGTGAGAAAGGCTACTATAAATGTACCAGTTTCATATAATACGGTATATGTATACCTGTTATGTAGGATGTGCTAGGAACCGTGCCCTTCACTGTTGATAGTGATAACGTGATTATAGCGAATGAGTCGCATCTTCCGGAGGATTTGGCCAGTTTCATCATCGGTGAGGAAACCGGAGACCAAAGCGTTAGGGATATGAATCAAACTGGAGGGTCACCATCACAGCAATTTAATGCATACAATCAGGCAATTAATATGAATGCAATTCAAGCATCGACATCATCACAACTATTAGCTACCACTTCAACGACAGTAGTGTCTCATCAGAGACTAGTTATGGCTAATAATGTTAATCAAGGATTGAATGGACTGCAACCTAATCATACGATAACCACTGAAACAAACAGTTCATTAGATAATATGATCGAAGACGTGACTTTCATATTTGCTAATAAGATTGACCTAGGACAGATGAACACTGCAATGGATCCATTATTAGATGAATTTAAGGTGAGTGCTAATCTTTAATTTTTTAACATACTTTTAGTCATAGATTACACAATTTTGAACTTATACAATTATTAATGCTATAATACATAAAAAAGATATACTAATATGACACTCGTACATCTATGCCAGTAAGTTTCAAAAATAGGTAGCATTCACATTTAGTAATGCTATAAGTATTACTATTTGTAATAATTTATAATACATGGAACTGGCTGATCTATGCTCTTAGTTAAAGCCGAAGCGAACTTAGAAAACTCGTTTTTAACAAACATTTTTGTGCCCATAACTGGTGTTTATTTTATATTGAATTAAGACATATCGAGCGAATTTGGCCACAAAAGGCCAGCAATGCGATCATCAATGTTGACGTCTATATGTCTACTGTTTACTTCCGGTCGCATTTATTGATGCATTGTTTTAGTTATCGATAGAAAATAGTTCACATTTGCAATCAAATGTGTCTGTAAAGGCCTTACCTTACACTGTAATATGTAAAGCATCCAAATCTAGGTGGCAAAAAAGGCCTTTATAGTCACTATCAAAGTTAACAAAAAGTGGTCAAATAGTTAGTTAAATAGTTATTTATTTTTCTAAAGTTTTAGGTAAAATCCCTTTATTGTTGAATATAATGACAAATAGTTTGCATTATTTATGAATTTTGACAACTAATTAACTATATTCATCAATTAACTCGTAAATATAACCATAAAAATGTTTGGTTTTAAATTGCAATAAATTACTTTATTTAATAATTATAAATTTAAATAATAGAAACAAATAAATTAATATCATAAAGTGTATTAATTAGAGGTAAAAAGAATAAAATATTTTCATATAATTGCATTAAAACCTCCAGAAAATTTTTGTTGTAACATGATTAATAATATGAATGATTATTTCCCTGACCCAGTCAAAGCGAGTGAGCTCCTTTATTTTTTAATTATTATTAAATATTAAATTATTATTAACTTTTTACAAAGTATTCTAAATAGTTTATAGATTAATTAGTTAATAATTTAATAATCATAATTGTAATTACATATAAATAGCTCTCTCTCCATTTGGTGCTCCTGAAATTAGTAATTTATACAAGTTATATTCTGGGCATGATAGGGTATCGGGGGATAAAAGTCAATCCCCCAATAAACACCAGTTATGATCACAAAAATGTTTGTTGAAAACGAGTTTTCTAAGTTCGCTTCGGCTTTATTAAAACCAATCTGAAATATTAAACAAAAACCACTGATTCATATAGAAATATCAACAAACCAAGAATGACAATACATGTCGCCTTCAACATATTCAGAGTGAGCTGAAGCACCAAGGTAGAATGAAAGAGTTCCTGGATAACACGGGAACAAACCCGTTGGCTAAAGGAGAACTAGTGTCACTGGTGGGCATGTACAAAATGGAGGACTTCTGGCCATATCACAATGATTTAACGGAATTACCAGTTGTACCGGCAGAGAAATTGAGATCAGGGGACACCCGATACTTTATCATGGACTCTAAACCGAGGGGACGGGCCATAGTGTTCATGTGCATCAATGGAGTGGATAAGGAGGAGGACCGATGGGAATCCATTTTCGGACAGTTAGGCTTCGATGTCGACGTCTATACAAAGGCCAAGTGCTCGAAAATAAAGGATGTGTTGTTGGGAGTGTCGGGTCAGCCTTTCAAAGCCGACGCCCTGTTTGTGATGTTTATTGGCGGCGGTTATGACGAGAAAATCCGCGGATACGGAGGCAATGAGATATCGTTCACAGATATTGTGGACATATTTTCCGACACTAATTGTGTGTCTCTGCGAAACAAACCGAAAATATTTGTTTTCAACACTTTCTCTATTGGTTTGTATTTATGTTTATTTTAATATTTTATTGTGGAAAAGGGAGGGGAGAGTAAATGTTTTATTTAATTTTTATAACTATAGGAAAGCCTCAAAATATTGATAACATCAGAACAAATTGCCATGATCGCACCTATCTCATTAATGCACACTCCAACTGTACCGAAACCAGTATGTATTCCAAATTATTGTACTGAACAGTTTACTTTATATTGAATATAATAAAACGAGAATTAATTAATTGAATATAGATATGGACTCGTGGTATAACCCAAAAGAATGCATTACACTATTTGGACAGGCATTCAGTTATACGATTGCACAGTACGCTTGGGATCTGCATCTTGGAAACTTAATTAACAAGGTATAATATAGAATACTATATTTTTTTATTACTTAATGTAAAATGTAAAGCTTAACAAAATGTAAACTATTAATAGACACGCAAACGATTTAAATATGAGCATGGTGACAAAGAGCAACCGAAAATACTTACCATTTTTGCGCATACGAGAGAGATATATTTCAATCCGGGTCTATATAAGCCAATTAAGTCTATTTAAAACAGTTGTTTATATTGTACCCTAAATCTATTAATTTTATTAAATAAATGAACAATAATTGTCTGAATACTTAGTCATTAAAATTTAATAATTTAATAATTTTGTAATACCTATTCATAATTTATTAATATAAGGTTAATATTATAAAAATTTAATTTAAAATTAAATCAATATATCGGAATATTTGTATTACTAATTATTATTATAAAAACTACATGTGATACGTAAAAACATATTTTTCGTTTGTTGGCACTAGCTAAAATCACATATTTATATGACCTCACGGTTTTATATACATTTATATACATTAAATAATTTTATTGCTAATGTTTAATTGCCGGTAATTAATTTATTCATTAAAATTGTATACTTTTATAAACATCAACTTTAAATTCCATTCTTATATTATACAAATTAGATTTAATTCTAAAAAATGTCTCTAAATAATATAAATTATTTGGTTTGGAGTTTAGAGTGGTTACGACAATAAATAATAAATGAAAATCAAACTAAACATTCTAATAACGAAATAATAACCTATTGTCTTTCGCAAGTATTTATATAAAAAAATTTCAAAAATTGTTTTTTCGAATATTTCTCAGTAGGGTCATAAACACCAATCTCGAAATACATAATCTCGAAAATTGTATAATCTATTTTTAGATACTTTATTAACTTCTAAAACATTCATTTTACAAAATATTTAAAATCTCGCTTTAATTCATTGATATAAATGGTTAAAAAGCCTCTTAAGAACGAAAAACTAACCAGAATACTTTTAAAATATTTTATAATTAAAATTTTCTATTTTGTGTTTAGTTGTAACTCATTTTATACATAATTACATGTTTTGATAAATCTATTATACAGTGGTTATTTGATTATATCTTTTGACTGGTTAATCGCACTGAATTCTTGTGATCATATTCTTTTAGCTATATAAATGAACGACAATTTGGTGTACATATTCATTTATATCCGTTCATAAAATATTTATGAAAATTTACTAAAATTCTCATAAAAAATACATAGAGGTTTTTAATAACTTTAAGAAATTTTGTAAATTCTGTAAACGTAATACTATGAAATGATTCATGATTCATAATGATTCAAACGAGTTTATTATGTCAACAAAATTTCTCTCTCTCTCCTGATATGTGACGTAATGAACGAACAGACGTTTAAATAATGAGTTAATCGGTTGAAAAACATGTGAAAGAATTAAACACTAATTGCGGACAAAACTATGCGTTCAGTAAGTGATAGGATATCTGTGGGAAAGAATACTTCATAACATTCATGTTGTGTCTCATATAAAAACATAAATGTGCATGGTCAAATGTGCATGAAACTCGTAAGTCATTGAATTATTTAATTTAGTTATAGTTTTATGATTGATTGCATACATAGAAACGCAAACTACAGGATATGCCACAAAACAGCGTTATTCCTACGAAATGTAAGGCAATTGGATCTGGATCAAATGCGTTTTCAAATGGAAATGTTGCCACTGATAACCCTGGTGCTAAGTTAACAACAATTTGCAGCAAGATGTTGTCTTCTGATTATGAAGCGAATAGTGATTATACGATATCCAATCACTCAAACATAACAGATACTACAGTTTTAGGTAATCAACCAGGTGCCGGTCCCTCCACTACAGCCCTTACCTCTCCCACAATTTTGGGCTCATCTCCAGAATGTGTTAACAAGGAAAATGATTTATTAACGGAACTGATGGCAGACATTGAGATGATATCTACTGACGAGATGGTAGACAAAGGGACAAAGAATTTGAATCCCAATCAAGACTTCACTCAACAATCACCGCAAACATCAGTTCATAATACTATGGCAGTTGAGTCCTATCAGAGAGCACTGGTAGCTCAGTCGGCAACCTTTGGATCCACTCAAACCATTGCTCACAATAATATAATTGCGAGACAAACGGACACTTCCATTGATGACATCATCGAAGATATGATATTTACATTTATTAACAAAATTAACCTGGGATTGGTTCCTACTAGTGGCGATCCCTTATTAGGCAAAATGAAAGTAAGCAAGCTTGTATTAATAAACAAAAATAATTTATGACTAAAACTAAATTATTTAATAAATGCTTACATTTATAGCAACTTCAAGAAAACATGATTAGGGAGATTACGCACAGTACGCTTACAATCTGCATCTAGATGATTTAATTAAAACTGAAATGTTTTGTTATATATTAATTACTTATAATTGATTTAAAAACTATAAATGTTTAATAGACATGTAAGCGACTTGCATCGGAGCATGGTGATAATAAGCAACCGAAAATTGTCACCACTTCTTTGGAAACAAAAAGGAAAGTTTATTTTAATCCGGGTCTTTCTAAGAGGCAAATAAAAGTCAATTAATTTACTTTATTATCAAATTCTGTATTAAGTATTATACGATTATAAATGTTTATTAAAAATTGTTCACAAAATTCTTGTTTGAAATCTATTGACATCTAATGTCTTAAACCATGTAATAAATATTAATAAAATAACTTGAAAAGTTAAATGTATTAAGTATTATACGATTATAATTGTTTATTAAAAATTGTTCACAAAATTCTTGTTTGAAATCTATTGACATCTAATGTCTTAAACCATGTAATAAATATTAATAAAATAACTTGAAAAGTTAAAACAGTAGCTAGAGCAAATTATTTGACACATATTGTGTGGATTGGAATCATAGCTAAATTCTAAGTTTAAATGTTTTTCTGTGGAAATATTATTAATTTATAAAATATTATTATGAGCCAGCATTTAATGAGCAAATGACTCAATCAATTAAAACTTATGTGTAATAAAGAGCCGTAAATTGGACACTTGAGGGCACCGGTACTCTCAACTTATATTATATTTTGTTAATCTGTAATTAAAATTAATTTCATAACTGTATGATTTTTATTTTTAAAAATTATTGAAATATATTGAGGGTGTCCAAAGACATTTACTGTTATATATTATATGTTGCGTATGAGAGGTATGTGCCATACTTTCACTTTTTACATACATTTCCACTCAAACATCTTACAGTTTGTATCAATATAATAAACTTATTTACTATTTATAAATTTTATTGTTATTTTTATGGTCATATATTTGAATCATTTATGAATAAAAACTTTGCATTTAATGTATTAAATTAATTATCTAATTATAAAATTCTGAAACATTTATTACATTATATCTAGAGTTTGAGAGTTTGGAGCCTTTATGTGACTTCGAAAGGAACTGGCGATGGATTGTGGTGTTGGGTCAGTACGACTGCAATATCGAGTTAATTGGTGTCATTTCATTGAAATGCTTCCGAGGGAAAGGGGTGGGTATGGGGTATGGGGTCAGTCGTGGACAGACAGTCACAGACATACNCTTAGAGATAGAGAGACAGGCAATGGTTTGTTACTAAACACCAGATATTATACAAATACAATTATCATACATAAACTACTGTAATCAATAGGATTGGAGTATTTATTTGCATACCGAATATGATACTGTATTAACTGGTTTTGACATTAACATTAATTTTTCTATAGTCCAGTGAATATTTATTGACCACTACCGGCACATGCATAATATGATACCGGACACTCCCACAGGTAATGAAAGTTTCAATTAAAGAGTTTTAATTCCACTCCCATTTAATTGTATGGTAATTATAAGGTACAAACAATGATACAGCAATGTTGTGCTAATATGTATTTAATAATAGGGAAGTCTACGGGTTTCCTAAGGGGGAGGTGTATGTGAATTCATGCGTGTACCTCGCAGTCAATCACAATTCACATACTTTTCTATGCAAATATATATAGCGTTACATTGTATTGATTCTGTGGTTTCATTATTAATAAAAGTTTCCTATATTTTTAAAAGCAATTAGTTTTTAAACAATTGATAATTGAATTTACTTTTCACGTCTTTTTAAATGTTTTTACTGTTTGTGTGAAATTAGTTTGATTTAATATATAATTAATAAATATTTTTTTATTAAATACAAATAATTGAACATTGAATTTATTGAACATTATTATTTAAACTTGGTTTCTACATCAAATAAATAGTTTAATTGGTTATTAATTGGTAAGTTTTAATTAATTTTTTATTCATTAATTTTAAATTTTACAAACTTTTTAAACGTAGCATTAAAAATACCATACTTATATTTTACAAATAAAATACATTTAATTGTAGTAAATGTCCGAAAATAAAATAAAATATTTGGTTTAGAGTTTGAATGTAAATATATCGTGGTTACGGCAATAAATAATAGATAGAAATCACATTAAAAATGCTAATTAATAGTGAAATAAGTCTATTCTCTGCACCCCTTCACTCCAAAGTATTTATACAATAAAGTTATCAAAAATCTTTTTCACATATATTTCTCAGCAGGGTAATAAACAACAGTTTGTGATAATTTAAGGCTTTTGTATTCGATCAAAAATAATTGCAATTTCAATAAAGTTTTGACCAGTGACATTTATTTTGTCATTTTGAGGCATTTTGTGAATTTACAAAGGCAAATAGTCATGAGGGTTAGGCGCTATTTGAAATACCTTTCCTGAATACAAATATCTAATTAACCAAAAATTTTACATAAATTCAAACAAAATAGATTGTCCAGGATATTGAGGCTATTTTATGTCATTTTAGGTATGTTGAACTGGGCTATAAGGGGTTTCTTAAACCGGACTCCTGATATACCTATCCCAGGGACAGACTGTTCCTTATCACTGTCTCCATGGTGCCATTGTATATGGCCTTCATTTGCGGGACATTCATATGTTTACAATTCAGTGGACATTATTTGCTGTGAAATTCATATGAAAAGGGTTTCATAAACAGATGAACGAGTGATCGCAGTCTGACGTAACCATAAAGAGGTAGGGATTTGGATGCCTACGAGTGTGTACTCTATGTATACGTTCATTGCATGTCTGCGATGCTATGAGAATGGTATAAAACACGAGTCCATCATTTACATATTATTTGATTTAGTTTTGCCACTAATTGTTCATTTGATTTGATTATTCATTGTGCTAATTATAATCACAAACACCAACTCCTTTAAATGTAAGTGAATTTAAAAATAACTTAATATTAATTTAGTATATTAGCAACTAGTAACTTTTAGAATACTTTGTGTTAAGTTACGCTCAAATATAATAAACGAATAGAATTTTGTAATTAAATATAAATAATTAATTCATACAACTATTATATTGAGGATCATATTTGTTTATATTATCAATATTATTTCTATAATTTACACTTTATAAACATTTTTAATTACTAAAAAGTGATCTGTTTGTATAAATAAATTCTAATTAGATGAAATAATAAAAATCACACAAAAATGCTAATTAATAGTGAAATAAACGTGTATTCTCTGAATCCCTTCACTCAACTCTCGACTCAAAAGTATTTACACAATAAAGTTATCATAAATTGTGTTTTACATATTCTTAGCAGGGTAATAAACAACAGTTTTTAATAATTAAAATATATTATAATAGATAACAAATAATTGCAATTTGCATTGAGTTTTAATTGTAAGTTATTTTTAAATTATTTTTAGAATCTATACTGCAATAAAGTCTCTAATTTAATATTTAATTCACAAATATGAGATGTTAAATGTTCATTATACTATATTACATTTATTTATTTATTTAAATGAAATACTTTAATGTGATAGTAGTTTGTTATAAAACCCTGATATATTAAATACAATTATCATACGTAGACTAATCTATAAGTTTGAGATATTTATTTGCACCGAAACTCAGTATTTGTAATAAGTTTTGACGTGTAAATTAACGGGTGCTTTGGCACCGGTAGTATATTATAACATATTTATTTTAATTACATAACATTCTACCAGATAGTAATACTATCAAATTAACAGCTCCAGTACTGAGTAAATTTAACAAGGGCACATAGTCATGGGGTTTAGGCGCTATTTGAAATACATTTCGTATAAATATATATATAACTAATCAAATTGTATATAAATTCATACAAAATATATTGTCCCAGGGTATCATTTGTTTATCATTATAAGTAAATTATGTCATATATTTGAATTAGGCTATAAAGGGTTGTCTCTAATGGACTCCCGGTATACCGTTTCACTGCACAGCCATTCCTAATCATAGTATCCATGCGACGACTTTATGGCCTCCTCTTTGCGATCAATTAATAAATATGTGTTTACAGTTTAGTAATCATTTGTGTTGATGTTTGAACGCCACTCCCATAAGCGAAACGTTTATAAACGTGATTACAATTTGCCATCAATGTGAACGAGACACTCAATTGTGGACATCAGTGCACATACTCTAGAGTCTAGGCGTTCAGACGTTCAGACGTTCAGACGTTCAGACAGTTTGCAGGGATGGGATGAACATCAGTGCCTCATATTTACGCTTATTTTGAATTATTGTTAAATTAATTGTTCATTTGAATTGATTATTGTTTTGTCATTTATTCGTGAGCACAACAAATGCCTTAATTGTAAGTGATTTGCATAAAATCACATTTTAATAGATTAGTATTAATGTTAAGTAACTAATAAGAAAAAGTTACACAAATATAATTTTTATTTTACAATATGTATTATATTATGTGTTGATTTAATTCAATTATACTTTTTAGTGATTACACACAAACACAGTGGCCTTAACTGTAAGTCATTTTATTTGTATTATTTAAGAAATTTAAATTTTAGTTTCTATTAGCTTTATAGCTATAAATAAAGTGCCAATATTTATAATACAGTGCCAATCAATACGATTCTTAATGAATTGTTTACTTTTAATTGTTATATATTTTTTTAATTTGAACTAAATGTCAATGACAATCTAGTGGTGATTGATATTAATTTATTTAATAAGTTATTCTTGAATAAAAGTTTATAAAAATATTTTTAATAATAGCTAAAAAATATTTTCATAATATGTGACAAAGTTTTTGAATTTATTAGATTAGAGATGACAGACAATAAATGTAGTGTTTGTGGTGACACCGGCGAGAGCCTTGGTAGTATCAATATATTTATAATTCATAATTTTGTATACAATAATTTATATTAATAATTTATTAATTAATAGTAACTTAATCCATAAATAGGCGAGAATTATGTGCCCGAAGGGAGCGGTGTCTGCACGTGTAATCCCTGCAGAACATTCTACTGTGTCAATAAACAAAAAGATATAACCCAAATCAATGTAAAATTATATCATTGTTAATAATATATTCACATATATAATCATATATATATATATCTAATTTAATTTATGTACATTTAGTGTATTAAATTCTGAATTTTGTGTGAATCAATGAGATTGTTATAAATATCTGTTAATTAAATGTATTTATTAATTATTATCATATGATATAAAAATAGGGAAAAGTTTGCAAAACAAATGGGACTCCGATTGGCCCAAACGACCCTATATATTGTGATGGCAAACCTTTTAAAATGTTCCGGAAGTGTGCCGCATGTCGTTGGCATAAGTGGAACAGAATAATACGGGAATCCGTAAGCGAGTGGCAGTTATTCGTGATATTAATTAATCAATGAATGAATTCATAGGCGGACAGACCACAGGACGTGCCACTAAACAACCCAATAGGTCACCAAAATAACACGACTCACACCATTGAGACCGTGTCCAGTGAGGTGCCGGTGATCAGTGCTAACACTGACCACCAACCGGCTCATGAGGCAGCACCTACTGTGCCAACGGACACGCCTACGTCGCAGCCACCCTTTGTTGCTAGTGATAGTGGTTTGACTCAACTACCGGAGCATTCAATCGCAAACAATAGCCATAATATGAGCCTTAATCTAATGGTTAGTCATAATGACAACTACTGTATGGACACCACTTTCACTGTATCAAACTTATAGGTATCACAGACTGGTGGACAGGGGGATACTAATATAGATTTTGAGAATCCTATTCCCGGCCCCTCCACTGCATTCCAGTATCCAAATAGTTTAATCACTTTGTCTCTGGGAGGAGTGGACACGACATCCACTCAATCGGAGGCCGATCCCTTGACAGTCATTCCTAGTAATTCAAGTATTTTAAGCAGATCCGTTACCAAGGTAATCTTATATCGCCAATTAAAAGTAAATCAGTCAGTGTTTAATTGATATACTGATTTAAATTATTGATTGAATGCATGCATAGGATCCCAGCCCACGAGCGCCGCCACAAAACAGCGACAGTCCTGCCAAACGTCGCCGAAATAACACGACTCGCGCACCAGAGTCCGTGTCCAGTGAGGTGCCAGTGACCAGTGCTCACATTGACCATCACCCGGCTCGTGAGGCAGCACCTACTGTGCCAATGGAAACGCCAACATCGCAGCCACTCTTTGTTGCTAGTGATAGTGATTTGCCTCAACTACCGGAGCATTCAATCGCAAACAATAGCCATAATATGAGCCATAATCCAATGGTTAGTCATAATGACAATTACTGTATGGACACCACTTTCACTCAATCAAACTTATAGGTGTCACAGACTGGTGGACAGGGAGATATGGATTCAAGAAATCCCACTGCATCCCCGTCCCATTCTGATAATTCAAGTTCTTTGTTATCGGGAAGTATAGTTAGTATTGCATCTGAAGATTGGAATTACTTAATGGACACGATTACAGATGAAGTATTAGATCTCGAGTCGCTAACTAATGAAGGAACAGTAGGTCAGGGACTGGAATATACGTATACAAACGAAGCCCTTCCTCAACAACAACCTCAACCATCAGCTAATACTTCAACGGCAGTCGAGTCCTATCAGACAGGACTCGCATCCCAACCCAATCCAAACAATAATATACTACGGAATCAAACGGACAACTCTACCGATAATATTGTCTACGATATGATTCACACGTTAATTAATAAAATTAACCTTGGTTTGATTGCCACCACTAACGGAGATGAATTATTAGATAAAATAAAAGTAACCAAAATTATATTATTATATTAAAGGTACTCTTGTAAACTATAATTATAACCAGTGACCATTATCCACAAATAGGAAATTCAAATATATGAGAATAAATGCCAACAAATGATCAAGGCGATAGCGGACGAGTTAATGCAAAAGGGTCCAGGTGAGCTCAAACAGTTGTTGGCCAGGGCTGGACTGCTACAGGAATCCAAGGCTGTGGTCGAGATGTTCATAACGAGGGAGCCCTGGAAGTGCACCACTGATGTCGAGTTAAAAGTGAAAAAAGCACCCGAACTGCGATCAGGAAATTCGCGATACTTTCAAATGAGTTCCCATCCGAGGGGTCGGGCCATCATATTTGCGACCACAGATGGCCTGGACGTCGAGATAATGCGATGGAAATCTATTTTCGCACAGTTAGACTTCAAGTGTGAGGTATATGTGTACTTCACGTGCTCTGAGATCAAGGATAAGCTGTTGGAGATGTCGTGTCAGCGGTTCGTCGCCGACGCCCTCTTTGTGATGGTTATCGGCGGCGGATTTGATCAGAAGATCTACGGTTACGGCAATCGTGAAGTCGATAATGAGATGTCGTTAACAGAAATTGTGGACATATTCTCAGCTAATAATCCTAAGAGTGATGCGTCTCTTAGGATGAAACCGAAAATATTTGTTTTCAACACTTTCTCTATGGGTTTGTATTTATATTGTTTATATTTTGGAGAGAGAGAGAGAGAGAGAGAGAGAGAGAGATTTTGTTGACATAATAAACTCGTTTGAAGTAAACTTGTAAATAAAACTATTGCCAACTTTCTCAACAAATTTAATAAAACACTGATTATTTAAACTTCCGTTCGTTCATTACGTCACATCAGGAGAGAGAGAGAGAGAGAGAGAGATCAAAATTTATTAATATATTTATGCACTTAGAAACTTACCTACAAATTGAAAATATCCGGATGAATCTGAATTCGAATAATAATAGAAGCTATGTCATTTATTCACATGCAAAATGTATGTATTACATAAACTGTCAAGTAATAGTTTTCATATATAATTTAAATAATGTGATTAATTTACTAAAAACTAATTTCAGCTATAAATTCATGGCGTAACCCCAATGAAAGTATAACACTATTTGGACAGGCATTCAGTTATTCAATCGCACAGTATGCGTGCAATTATCACCTTACTCTTTTAGTTGGAAAGGTATATTATAATATTCCTATGACTTAATTACAATTTAATTTATTAAATCTAATAATTGTATAGACTCTGAACCGACTGGCGGATGAGCATGGTGAAAATAATCATCCACAAATAATCCTGAACTCGTTAGATACGACACGAGATATATATTTCAATCCTGGTCTTTAATTTATTTGCATATAATTAGAGTGCGTATTATATTTTATAATAATTATAAATTATTACTTATCTATAATTCAATGTTTTATAACAAATAAACAATATATCAAATGAAAACAAATTCATTGAATACTTTAATAAATTTTATTGAATCTTATTTCTCATGAATGTACCTGTGACCATTTAAATGCAACTCTATCATCAAAACTTAAACTTTAAAGTTTTTAGTTAAGTAATTACAGAATATTCTTGAAATAAGACGACAACTATTTGACGGAGAATTAGAAAACCTATGAATTGTGTCGAGTATTGCATTGGATGTGAAATATTCCGACAGATCTTAGAGTGTGTTCAGTATTTGCATGAATTGGATCCACTGGTCATTCATAGGGATCTCAAACTCAAAAACATTGATTGCAAACAGATTTATAAAGTTATGTGAGCATCAAATTGGCATAAAAGGCCGGAATGTAGTAAATTATTAGCTAAATATAACAAATTGACTATTGATAAGTATATTGTGGATCCAGGTGTGCAGAAAATTTGATAACATAAATATATTCAATCTAGTTATAATACATTTTTTATTCATTTTTAATAACATTTATGCGCTAAAGGTTAATAAAATGTACTGTGTAATTTTTTGAATAAAATTATCTTATATACAGTATTAATATTTATATGTCTAATGTTGATTTAAATATAATATTTTATCATGTTTAGGTTAGAAAATATATTTATTTTCAATATTGTTTAAAATATTCTTATTTCATTTTATTCTACCGCATAAAATATATAATAGAAATCTAATGTCTCAAATCATTTGTTAAATGTTATGATTACAGTTTAATTTGTATATTTGACAGCTCGGGTACTCTGAACTTAGATTATATTCTACAGTAGTTTTCATGTACGGTAATCAAGATTATTTTCTAAATTTTCCTAATTGTGTCTGGTATATAAAGTTTTGCATTGTTTAAATGTTTTTTAAGATTTTGAAATATATTTAAGGTGTCCAGAGATATTGACAGTGTATTCATTATAATATATTATGTTAATTAATATTTAAATGTCTACAGTATTAGTTTAAATTTGATACTGTTTAGAATTCAAACTATATTTACATTTTATTAAATTTGTTGAGAAAGTTGGCAATAGTTTTATTTACAAGTTTACTTCAAACGAGTTTATTATATCATCAAAATCTCTCTCTCTCTCTCTCTCTCTCCTGATGTGACGTAATGAACGAACGGAAGTTTAAATAATCAGTGAATCAGTTGAAAAATATGTGAAAGAGTTAAACACTAATTGCAGCAATATCAGTAAGTCATAGGATATCTGTGGGAATACTTTATAACATTCATGTTGTGTCTCATATATCATATAAACATATAAATTGCATGAGTTTTGTATATATTGTTCATTTGATTTGATTATTGTTGTGCTCAATAATTGATTCATTAAATGCAATACTTGTAAGTGATTTTAATAATTAATTAATAATTTTTAGTAATAAGTAATTAAAACTTTTACTAGATACAAAAAAGTGATATACAACTGGAACAACTAGAATTTACAGCGAGTTTTCTAAAACCAATATAAAGTAATTGAGAATAATTAATAATTATATTTTATGATACAATTTTTCATAGCTTACTAGTATTTACAGTAAGGTCGATATCGAAATAAGACCCTTCGTATTAAGACCTTAAAGTTAAATAACTTTAAAATTAAATGTGCATAATATCAGTAATATAAACTAGTTCATAATGATATATTAATTACTAATTTCGTATATAAAATGAATCAGGTACAATAACAAGCAGCCAATCTTTGTGCCACTGAACACATCGTAACATTGAGTTCATATTAACAAGTTTTTGCGTTCAACTTAATGGCGATGAACGAGATGGATGGGTGGGACGGGTTGTCCTCAAATGGCAACCAAAATAATTTGGTTCACGAAAGTGGTAATGAAAATACAATGACTGATACCCAGGACATGGCTGATATAGAAATGATTTCGGAACCACCTACTCGCAACAACAGTAAAAACAGTTCGGACCAACAACCACCAACTGATGAGTCCGTTTAGAGATCACTGTCCATTAACTATGAAGTTCAAGGCTTGTATGGCATTTCATTTAATAATTCGTACATATATTATACATACAGTCATATAATTGCATAGATTATGACTTTTCTAAATTATTATAAAACTATAAATTAATATGAAGTATTTAGTAAAATATAGTCATAAATAAAATTAAATGTCATGTTTATATGGCTGATGGGTGTTATATTCTAAAATATTCCGCATTTGCTTAACTCTGAACAACAATTACTAATAAATAGCAAGCAAAATATACTGTATGAAGACCGCGAGATATGGGGTCATTTTTACAGAAACGGAAATTTTAAAAAAATGGTTTTTGAGTCCCCTTTAGCAAATAACAATCAATCAAATTTCAATTAAAACAACATTAATATTCATTTATTTATCAAAATAATTGTATATTGATATTAATAAAACATTTGTAAAACATCAAATATATAATGCATAGATTAACATACATGGGCTCCTGAGCCCACTAATACCTTTTTGTAATTAATATATAATTAAGTATCGTTAGTTTGGTCTTTAATATCTTCCGGGAAAAATAATTCCTTATGCTCGAGCCACGAAGTATATTTTGGTTTAGTTTTTGACAATTTTGGGGGTGGCTCACTGTATGTATCAGGCTTACTTGTGGGTTTGATTGTAGTTAGTTTATTTTCTATATAATTACGATGATATATTAAATATTAATGAGTCATTAATAATGACATTAAAATAAAAAATAAGAATATATCTGACAAACGATGTTTTGTTACCCAATTTTGTGAAATAGTATGAACATCTAAGTCCATTACATTTTCATTGAAATTTAACATTTTTCCAAATATTTCTTAACGTTACAACAAATTTAAAACCTTAATTACGTATTAAAATATAATTTATGCGTTTAAATATAATAAACATTTATATGAGCATATTAATTCATGCAATTATTACACAAACATTAAATAACCTTGGCTTTTATTCAAACTCATATGTCTATGTTTGTCGTCTTTTTATATTACTTTTACAATAAATATTTTTTGAATTGCATATGATTAAACACTTTAATCATATTACTCTAATTTAAATTGACATTTGCCCCTTTGCCACAAAACCATTTTTTATGAATTTCCGTTTCTCTAAAAATGACCCCATATCTCGAGGTCTGACTGTATGTATAACTAACTTCATATATTTATTCAGAGTTAAACAATTACGGATTATTTTGAAATTAAACTGACTGACCAACAGTTCACTATTTAAGTGGGCAGTTAACTATTTGAGATTCACTAGTTACTGTATTGTATAGTTATTTCATACAATATTTTATGATATTTTGCCAGTTTGTGCAATTCTTAAAAACCAAATATTAAATTTACATTCTAAAACATGTAAAAACACAGTATAGACTATACTATAGAATCTATATTATAGATAAACTTATGTTCTTTTTCACCATTCATTTTCATCGGCTGCTAAGTACTGTACTGTTTATAGCGAATTATTTAAAACGGAGTTTAAGATCACTTTCTTATTCCTTACTCATAATAGTGTATGTAATTAATAATTACAATGTATATTTTTACAATCGACAGACTATTTCAGTAAATATAATTCCTAATAAGATGTTAACAATGAAATATGTTATCAATAGTTACGAAAAAACTTTCGATCAATTATCATTCATTGGAAAGGGTGGATTTGGGAGTGTATATAAAGTCAGAGACAAAACTACAGATGAAATATTTGCCATCAAGTTAATCCCATTTAAAGGTATTCATTGTCGTGATATGAGATTTTAAAATGAAATGACATGGAATAATTTCTTTCTAAGATTT